TGCTCTCTAAATGTTGTATAGTAGTACTCAAGCTCAAACCCCCCATTGTCAGTACTACACAATTTACCATTAACAAATCCATGATTCAGAAATAACCATCATCAATATGCTCAGAAGTACTTAAACATATTTGCATCTAAAGCTAATGATGAGAAAAGTACCAGTGCTGAAGAAAACAGGGAATGGGCTACCCATAATTGGCTTCCCATTGCACTCCACATAAACCATATAATTTCCTCGGCTGGGAACCACATAGGTCACACTATACGTCCCATCATTCATATCCTTAACAATCCCCTCCTGCTCGGAGCCGCCAACTCCCACTCCAGGAGCAACCTTAACCTTAACCTGCGCCCCACCGTGGAGCAATTTGCGACCGTCTGCGTCCTTCGTAACAACCGTGAACGTGGAGGGTGCGCAGGCCGTCCCGCCAGCGATGCCAGGGCCGGCCGCCGTGCACTTGTTGGGGTCCAAGGGGCCGATCGGCTTCTTGGCCAGCCTCTCTTCGTCCTCCTCTTCCTCGTCATCACTATCCGAAGCTGCGGTAGCAGCTACGGTTGAGGGGTCAACGTTTTTGAAAGTAGCCTCGAAGGCAGCCTTCGCGGCGGCAGCTTTCTCGGCTTCACTCTTCAACTTGGCCTCCTCGGCATGTTTTACCCATATCGGCTTCGCCGCCGCCGTCGCCGCCGTCGAATTGCTGTTGCGATCCGCCATGAAGGACAAGCAATTCGCCGTTGCCCAAACCCTAATGTTGAGAATCACTTAGATTTTACCCAAAACGGGGGAACGAGGAGTGAATGAGCGAAGTTAATGAATGGATAGCTAGCAAAGTTTAATCTAAGGGCAATTTCGTAATAACGCTATTGTCATGTTGATTGTTGGAAACACGTGAAGAAATACATTTGACCCATATCAAAAATTTGAATATAAGGTCATCTCCAATCACACGCCAAAATATTATTATGATGTAAAACTAGTATTGTACCCGTGCGATGCACGGTCTACAAATAAAATTTTAATTTACAGTGTTATTGTAATAAACAAAAATGGATTGTATATATGATAATAATAAAATATACATGACATAATAATAGTAATAAGTTCGAAAATTGTAATTATGTTTACAAATTGTTAAAAACTTCATGATAAACGACATTAGTAGTAGAAGTACAACTATTATTAAGATCATTACAAATTATAATTTTTAAACTCATAGGATTGCTAACCCTAGACGCAGTAACATACAATTGGCCATGTACAAACACTGGTTTCTTTAGTAGCAACCCAACATGAGTGAGTGTTTGACCTTGACTTTTATTTATTGTCATTGCATATGACAACATCAATGGAAATTGTTTCCGTTGGAATTTGAAAGACAATCTTGTTTCTGATGGAGCCATAGACATTATAGGTATCAAAACCGAACTACCAGCATTGTCACCAGTCATTATTTTGGCTTCAATCACATGCTCGGACAATCTTGTGATGACCAACGTTGTACCATTGCATAAGCCCAAAGAGTGATCTATATTTCGCAACAACATTACAGGTGATCCAACTTTCAATGTTAATGCATGATTTGGAATCCCCGAACATCGCAACCCATTAAGAAATTCTGGAGTGTGCACATCTCCAAGTATACCGTTGTCTGAATCTACCTTACACACAGTGTCACAACTGAAATATGTTTTACTCTCAGCTGTATGCAAGGCACTCATATACTCATTTATTGAGTTCTTCACAACCTCTAGAGTTGGTGTTAGAATCGCACGACTTTGCATATAGTTGGGGTCACACCTAGCATTCATAAAATCCGGGAAAATGTTATCAACAATTGTCTGAATCAGGTCACCAATACATGGAAGTAACAAATCATTTTGAAAAACAACCTCTGCGTAACCAAAGAGAATAATATACATCATTCAGTGTTACAATAATAATGTACAATGCATAACCAATATAACTTACATTAAATAAAATTTTCTTTTCCATATATACATTAATATACTCGGGATGTATTAAAAAAAATAAAAATGTGTCATTCTCCTGCTAATGTCCGTTCCATATATACATGTACATATATTAATATACATTAATATATTGTACCCGTGCGATACACGGATTAAAAATTATAAATTTGTTGTTATGTTATGATATTAAAAATTCTTAGTCTTATTAAATTTTAAATATAAATAAATTATGTAAATACTAAAATAATAACTTTAAGACCCTCAAGGCGTTTAGTTTAAGGGAATTTAAATTTCCTTCCCACTCAATTCCCACCAAATTTCAAAGGCGACAAATTTTTCTTGTTTGGTTGAAAGGAATTGCAATTCCCCATTTTCATGGAATTAAAATCTCATGTCCCCCCTCAGATTTTAATTCTTGGGATTATCCATTCCTTTTTTAACCTAAAATTAATGTCTGACAATAAAATAGACATTTTGGACTTTATACTACTTATTCCATTTCTATACTATTTATTCCCTTTCATCTATCTCGGATCAAAACTTAAGTACCCACATTATTTCCTGATATAATTTATGCTTCAATAAGATTATCTCCTAATTTACTAATAACAAATCTCATTCATGGCATTAAACAATAGATAACTTAATAATAATAATAATAATATTGTCAAAGGTCTTGTGATCAAGCGACATAGTTGTGGCCCCAATAAGCATAAATTACAGAACTAATTTTACTTTATATTATATACATACATACATACATACATATATATATATATATATATATATATATATATATATATATATATATATATATATATATATATATATATATAAAAGCAAGGAGATATTTAGAACTAATTCTAGATATGTTCTTGCATTGACGTATATTATACTTTCCTAATTCTGGGCTAATGTTATGTAGAAATCTCCATTTCACTCCATGCGAGAGAAGAACATCTAAGCTTAAAATTTCTTCCTCTCACTTTCAATCTGAGTATTGTACTTTGCAAGCTCCACTCAAATTGATGGTGGCAGGTTCTTGGTTCTCAAATCATAGTTCTCAGGCTGAAGTTTTAGAAACTTCAACCTCAGTGCATGGGCAATCTGTTGTCTACGATTGGTTTTTGGGAACAATATCTTTGAATTTATAATCAAGATGAGGTAGATTCTTAAGCTTTTCGCCAGATTCTTCAGTACGAACGAACCCACTTCTTTCTTTGGAACAGATCGGCGAAGGCGATGCAAAAATTTCATAGTTTCAAACAACGACAAATGAACTACCTCGGCCAGATAAGTCAATGCACAGGTTTAATTCAGATTACCTCCTAGATCTATATCTAGGTTATCATCTGATATGTTCTTCAATTCATATTATTTATTATGATGCTTTGCAAATTGTAATCAAATTGAGGCCCGTTCTTCATTCTAGATTCATAATAGTGAGATTACAGTTGTATAAACTTACATGTCCTACATGATTTTGTCTATTATAGTTTCACATACTGCTTGTTCTTCAACTTTAGTTTTGGTGAATACTCTACAATAGGTCTGTTCTCGGTGGTTTTCACATTAGTAATGTCAGTGTAAGTAAAATTTTAATTGTTTTGAAAATTTACTAACCAAACATGCTCATAATATACTTTTTTATTTTTTGGAAAAATGCTCATAATATACTTGAACTGTATAGAAATCGAAACTGTGAACATACATGTGTCCTGTGATTGTTGTTTCCTTTTTTTGCCAATTACGGTAGAACTCGTTAACTTCTTCATTATCTCTTAACTTGCTTACTTCCCGATTAATATGCTGGTATTCTATGTGATGGTATTCTATGTGGATGAGTAATAAGTGATATTCTATGTGAGGCTATTTATATTGCAGGTTGCTATCAGTCAACCACTTTTTTATTGGAAATGACAGACGAGTAATAAGTGGTATTATGCTTGGTTTCAATATATTTGTATTTAATATTGCTGTTCAGGACCTTTTTTTTTATTTGATTTATTTGATCACTTTGCAGGTAGCTATGAATTTTGCATTGGAAATGACAAATAAAGTGTACAGCTTCCTAGATGTGTAATAAGTGGTACTATGTATTGCGTATCCAACCTTCCATATATCATCAGTACTACTATGTATTTGTACCTTGCTAAACGTCTGCGTTTTGATTGAGCGGGAGATTTTGCCATTGTTGTTCCCTAGGCCTGTGGCTATTTTATATAGTAAGATTTTGGCGCAAAAGAGCTCCAACCAACTGTAAATAAGCATATATTTTAGCATTGATGAATACTGTTGGGTCAAATATAGGGTAGTACTATTCATCAATGAAAAAATGGGGATGAACTTTCTTAACCTATTGAAGCAGCCCAAAAAGTAAACAGTGCTGATGAACTTTCTCAACCTATTGAAGTCCAAAGAGTCAACATCGCAATCTCATAACCTTCCGTTTGGGAGAGTCACTACATGACATCTGAACACAAGGTGCTTGACTTGTATCTTTATTTTGTTTTTATATGTTTCTATATTTCTATATTTTTTAATACTTTAGTGACCAAGCATATCAGTATAATAATAGGGGGTCCCGAGATCATCCTAAAGCTTTGCTACGGGGTTCAGGGAAGCGGTAGAGGAGTGTGGGCTTGAGCATTTACCTACGGTGGGCTATCTATTTACGTGGGAAAGGGGAAGGACATTGAATTGGGTTGAGGAACGACTTGATATGGTCTTGGCCGATGAGGAGTGGTGTAACAACATTAGGTGGCTAGGGTTTTCAACATTGAGACCCGCAATTCAGATCACTTGACTCTGTTTCTAGACATTTATGAGCCTGTAATGAGAGGGGAGAAGACAATCGTTCATATTTGAGAATGCTTGGTTGTTGAATGATGGGTGTAGAGGAAATGTGTGAGAGGTGTGAGAGGAAATAAGTGGGTTGGAGTTGCAGCGTAGGCTTGAGCACTGTGGCTTGAGGTTGGCTAGGTCAGTGGATGATAGATTTCATAAGTTTGGGAGGAGGAGAGATATCAACGGGGAGCTTCGTAAAATTAGGGGCCGAACTGATGAGGCTTCTTTGGGGATAATCTTTAACAAGGCGTTTGGTTGGATGTAATTTAGTTGTAATTGAATTGTAATTCAATGAAGACCTCAATTACAATATTTGGTTGGTACAATTCCCGCTTGTTGAATTGCAATTCAATGCTTGTGCGAAAGAAAAAAATGGGAGAAATGACAAAAATATCCTTGTTGATTGTTATTATTATTATTATTATTATTATTATTATTATTATTATTATTATTATTATTATTATTATTACACAAGGATATTTTAGTCTTTATACCGCTTTTTCCTTCTCATTCCCAATAATTCTATTTCTCTCTACAAAACAATGTAATTTCAATTCCTACATTATTCCTACCTTATTATTTTTCCACCGAATTGCAATTCATTTCCTTCCTAACTCCTTCCTCCCAACCAAACACCCCCTAATTGGCTAGATGGGAGTTGCAGGCCATAGATAACTAGGAAGATACATACTGGAGACAAAGAGCCAAGTAACATTGGCTTAGGGAAGGGGATTCCAATACGTGTTTCTTCCATCAGTACACGTCTGGAATGAAGATGAAAGATTTGCTAAGTAGGCTGAGAGATGAGACATGAAACTGGTTGAGGGGAATAGTATGAAACTGGTAGTGATTGTATATTTTGAGAAAATTTTTATGACGAATTGAGCTAGCAATTAGGGGGACTATGTTTGACCTGATCAACTCTCGGGTCTCAAACAATAACAATGAGGAACTAAGGCGACCGCTCATAGGAGGTAAAGTGATGGAGGCATTGTTCTCTATGTGTAGAGATAAGTCGCTAGGACATGATGAGATGACTCCAGGGTTTTACTAAAGTTGGGGGGGGGGGGGGGGGATTGGGTAGGACGTTACAGTGTTTATCATGAAATGTCTTGATGATAAAAAATTCCCTATAGGTTTGAATGATGCATGATGACGTTTATTTTATACTATATTTTACCCCATACTTTGACCCATTATGAGCATAAAATATCCAAAATCATGTGTGTACTGAGAGTCTGAGACTTATTTGTGTGATTTATGTTCTTAGGCACATTTATTCACACACAAAAAAATAATAATAAAGAAGGAAGCATTTAGAGGCATTTTTGGTCAATTTTGGAGTAAAAAGAACCTGTTCAAGAAGGATTGGAGTATTAGAGCATCAAACAAAGAACAGGGAGCACGCCAGGAGAACAGCCATGGCCAGAGGCACGACCATGCCCCTGGTGGTGCCAAGGCAAAGCCATTTCTGAAGGAATTTGGCACAACCTAATGTATGGTTGTGCCAATTTGAGGTAGTGAGCACTTTTTTTTGGGGCCGAATTAGGCACAATCGTGCTACTATGCGTATCCTAAACACTATTTAAACGCGTTTTCTACTGTATTTTGTAATGAGGCGAACCCTAGATAGTTTCAGCGGATCTTCCTTTATTTCCTTTCATCTTTTAGGGCTAGATTAGCTTAGATTACATGTCAACACACATTTCCAAGCTTTTAATCACTGATTGAATTCGAATTTAACCTCAACCTTGCATATTCATATAAAAGCTTTTATTTACTCTTTCTTTTATTTCCTCTGTAATGTTCTTAATATTCATGTGTTTTTTACTTGTTATTGTTTATGAATGTGAGTAGTCTGAGTTGGGGTTGGATTAGGGATTTATCCCATTCATAAGTGCTAATATGTAGATCTTGCATAAAGGAGAGAAATACCCAAGTATAGGGTTCAATCTTGTGAATAAGTTTGTGTTTGAATCTAGCTGATTCTTGATGTGCACAAGGATTGACTTGTTTTTGGAGAGTAAATCACACCAATGACAGTTGGGTGAGGAACTCGAGCCTCCTTCACAACCCAATCTCACCTTCAAGGGTTGGGGATTTGGGACCCAAGAATGCCTATGAGCTTACAGTTTGGAATTGGTAATGTCACAAAAGTGGGACAATTCTTTGCTCTAGTTCTAAGATCGAAAGATCTAGAACTCTAACGCGCATTGTTGGTGACCTCTTGAAATATGTGTTTCTCCCCAATCTTATTGGATTGTTTGTGCACTTAGGAGGTGGTTATCCTTGATCAATTTCTCTATTTATATTCATGATGATTAACTCTTTGCTTTAGTTATTTTATCCTTGTTATCATTATGATTTACTATGAGTTGATTGCTTTGATTCTCAATGATCTTAAGTCCTGGCTATAGTGAGTTGATTGTCATGAAAATACGTGTCATAAACCCCAATCCTCAGCGGAACGACATTCTAAACACGTAATAGTTTACTATTATTTTTTACAGTGATAAATGTCAATATCGTATTGATTCCTAAAAAGCAAACCCCGGAAAGGGTGTCCGATTTAATACCAATAACCCATTGTAATGTCTTTTGCAAGATCATGGCAAAAATGTTAGCAACTCGTAGAAATTCCTGGGTGAAATAACCTTAGAAACGCAAAGTGCTTTTGTGCCTAATAGACTTATCACAAACAATATTTTAATTTGGTGGCGGCTGAGGTAGGGCATTATTTGAGGAGGAAACAGTTAGGTGTTATGTGATGTGTTGCTTTGAAACTCGACATGGCTAAAGCTTATGATATGATGGAATGACAGTTTCTTAAGGGAATGTTGGAGAGGTTGGGTTTTGGCTTAGGGTGGGTAAAACTAATTATGATGTGCGTGACCACGGTCAGGTATAATGTGATGGTTAATGAGGAAGTGGTTGGAACTGTGTCTCTTACAAGGGGCCTTAGACAGAGAGACATATTGTCCCCATATCTTTTTCATCATTTAGGTGCAAAAACTGTTGTAGGATGGGAATGGAATACTTGTGATTTGCGTGAGTTGGTAAAGGTACTGCACATGATTTGGATGGCCAGAAACAAATGTGTGTTTGAACAAATTTTGCCAACTCCTCATGCGATTGTAGTGAAAGCTAGAAGAGATTTAGATGCTTGGTGAACAAGAGTAGAACGCAAAAGGAGAATGACGTTTACATTACCTGCATCGATAGACCAAGATGACGACATTAAGTTTAAATGTAAGGTGGATGCAGCGGCTGATCCCACGATCAGAAAAGTAGCGTTTGGGATTTGCGTTGTTAACGATGAATGAGTATTTCTTGAAACAAAAAATGGTTAGTTAGATTGCATCACCAATGCCCGACTAACTGAAGCAATGGCTTGTTGCGTGGCTCTATCCTGGATCAAAAGCAAGGCCATGTGCAACATCCAAATCGAATATGACTGCCAACGGTAGTTCAATTGGTTGGTGTTGGATCTCAGCACTGCACTATGCTTACTTTCTAGGGGGTCCCGGGATTGCCGGAAGTCAAGCATGCTTAACCATAGAGTTCTATGGTACCTGGTTTCCATATTATACTTAAAACCAATTGGTGATAAGTAGGTGGACATTAACCATTTAACCACATCTCTCTATAGTAAGTCATAGCGCCACGTCTCGAATCGAGACAATCCTCCTCCCAGCACCTGCCGCAACGTTTGAACACCAAGCCTAGTTGCACAGCATGCCTGACTCGGTCCTTAGCCTACGCGCCCATCACCCCCCTCTTGGGATTGGATAGCTTTCGCATCGCCATCAATTCGATCAGTTCTTAGCCTACGCGCCCATCACCCCCCTCCTGGGATTGGATAGCTTAAAGTCAAGCACGCTTAACCACAGAATTCTATGGTACCTGGTTGTCATATTCTACTTAAAACCAATTGGTGATAAGTAGGTGGACATTAACCCTTTAACCACATCTCTCCATAATAAGTCATAGCGCCACGTCTCGAATCGAGCAGGCGTTGAACTCGGCTAACCCGGCCGATGCCCTACAATTGGAAAGGTTGTATCACAATCATATTTGGGTGTTGTGTTAAGCATATGCAGAGAACTGGTTAATCCCATTGATTCTTGTTCTATATTTTCATTAGAAAGTCAGCGGACCAATCTGCACACATTCTTGCAAAGCTAGCATGTAGTTAGTTAGGTCCTAGTTTCTGGGAGTCTATTCCCCTGATTGTATTTCCATCTTATTCTTTAATTAATCAAGTGTTATGTTGGTTTAAAAAAAAAAACAAATTATACCATTTGAAAGATGTTATCAATGCATAAAACAACAATCCTCTGGCTATGCCTTGCAAGATAGATTGAGACATTGTGGTAGGCAGTTGAAACGGTGGGGAGGGCACTTATTCCATGATTTTGGGAGAAGAATAGAGACACTGAATCGAGAGATGGGCACACTCAAAGGTAGATTTGATGCAGGATCACTATCCAAGTTCCGTGATTTGGAATGCCAAGTAGGTCACCCGCTTTCCAATGAAGAGGCTTTTTGGAAATAATGTGCCAAACATCATTAGTTGAGAGGTGCGGATCGCAACACTAAGTATTTCCACAAGTATGCTTCTGGTCGTAGGAAGAAAAACGTGATCTTGAGACTGAAGTGTGATAATGGGGAATGGGTGGAGGGAGTGGACTACGTCCTTTGGTGACTGAGTATTTTGAGAGGATCTTCACTTCTGCTGGTAACCCAGGTACTTTTTGTATTGAGTCTTTGCAGGCTTGTGTTACTCAGGAACGAAATGCGGAGTTACTACACCCCTTTAAACTTGGTGAAGTTAAGGCAACCCTCTTCTCCATGGGTGCATATAAGTCCCCGGGCCCATATGGTATGAACCCAGACTTTTATCAATATTTTTGGGACCTAGTAGGAGGAGATGTTACTTCCTTTGTGCTGGAATATATTGGTAAGACTTCTTTTCCTAAAAATCTAAATGATGCTAATATCGTCCCTAAGAAATAGTCCCTTGAGGTTGTTTCTAATTTAAGGCCAATTGCTATGTGTAATGTTGTTTACAAAGTTATAGCTAAGATGATTGCTAATCGTATGAAACCACTCTTTGAAAACATAATCTCTAAATCCCAGAGTGCCTTCCTCCAGGGAGATTAATTACTAATAATTTCCTAATTGCCTCTGAGGTAGGGCACTATCTGAGAAGGAAACAGATTGGTAAGGCTGGGTGGGTTGCACTAAAATTGGATATGGTTAAGGCTTATGATTGTATGGAATGGTTATTCATGAAAACTATGTTGCTTTGACTTGGCTTTGATGTTAGGTGGGTGGAACTGATTATGTTGTGTGTGACCACAGTTAAGTATAAGTTTTAGGTTTTGGTTAATGGTTGTCCTACTGAGGTTATTTCTCCTACGCGAGGCAGGGGGATCCCCTCTCGCCTTACTTATTTATCATTTGTGCTGAAAGGCTCCCACTTTTGCTCCAAGAGGCTTAAACTAAGGGATATATTCATGGATGTAGGGTGGTAGGGGACTCCTATTGTCTCCCATTTATTTGTTTGCTGGTGATAGTCTTTTGTTTTTTAAAGCAAATTTACAAGAGGCCACATAAATCAAGAGGTGCCTGAAAGTTTATGAGACATTTTCTGGACAGGAGGTGAATTTTCACAAATATGGAATTTCCTTCGGTCGGAACACGAGAGGGGAGGAGAGAGCAGAGGTGGCGGATGCACTGAATGTTACTGAAATGAGGATTTTGGTAAGTACTTGGGTCTCCCATTTGTCATTGGTCGAAATAGGAAGCAGGCTTTTGCCTATATTGAGCACAAGCTGAGACTAAGATTTGGTTCCTGGTGTAAGAATTTGCTTTCTAGAGCAAGTAAGGAGATCCTCCTTAAAACTGTGGCTCAAACTATGCCAACTTATTCTATGAGTACTTTTCTGCTTCCCACTACTTTTTTTGTGAATCTCTGGAGTGCCTAATGAATAAGTTTTGGTGGAGCAGTAGAGGTAATAACATGAGAGTTCATTGGCTATCCTGGGACAAAATGTGTCACCCCAAGAAGTGTGTAAGTATGGGTTTCAAGAGCTTGCATGATTTTAATTTAGCTTTATTGGCAAAACAAGGCTGGAGGTTGCTTACTAGGCCAGACTCTTTGGTGACACGAGTATTTCGGGCAAGATATTTTCCTAAGGATACCTATATGGATGCCAAGCTTGGCCCCAACCCAAGTTACGTCTGGAGGAATATTATGGCTAGTCAGGACATCATTAAGAATATAATGGTTGTAAGCGTAGAATTGGCAATGGTTCTTCCACCTATATTTGGAGACACACATGGCTTCTAGATGATGAATACCCTATGGTCCCAACCCTGCCTGTGCCCAGGTCTGGATAATATGTTAGTAGTTGATTTAATGGATTCTAGTACCCAAGGATGGAAAACTACACTGATTTGGACCATGTTTGATGACAAAGATGCTAAATTAATTTTCAAAAACATTGTTAGCACTGAGTATGGTGATATGTGGTATTGACATGATGATATTAATGGTAATTATTACTTGCATCACAAATTATATTTTATATTAAACTAATTAAATTCAAATTAATAAAGTTTTAAATTATGAGAAACCAAATTATTTAGTGTAAAATAACATTTGGTGTAACGCGTTGGAAATGAATAAAATTTGGTGTGAAAATATGCTGAAAATATTTTTTTTTTTTGATGTGACATTTGGTGAAGATTTTTTATGTTTTGGTGTAAATTAGGTTGGAGATGCTCTAACATTGCTAATTATTATTGTTGTTGTTGTTATTATTATTATTTGATCAAACATTAGCAAATTATATCATACCATGTCCACCATGTTGTATATAAAAATATTATTGAAATTATATACAAAAAGTTAGATACATACAAATGATACCAAGCGTAATAAATCTATGTACTTAGATTAGTGAATTTATGTATTTACAATAATAACTGTTATAAAGGGGTGGAAGGTAAGTTGAATTTCAATTTAACAGTTTGTGTGTCAGATTAGCAGTATGGACTAAAATTAATCTGTGCTGAATATAATATGTGATGCATATAATCTGCGTTGAATATAATATGTAGTATATATGATGAAATTTGCGTTGAATTATGATCTGTAGTGTATATTATGTAGTATATATGCTAAGATTTATGTTGAATATAATATGTAATATATATTCTGCAATTTGTGTTGAAATATAATCCGTACTGCATATTCTATAGTATATATGCTGAAATTTGTGTTGAAATACATAATAGGTTGATTTCAATGGAGATGATGATTATGAAATCAATAAAGAGGGGTAACAATTCAAAGTCAAACTTGCAAGTAGAAGCGGTACATGCTGGGCATGAGATATTTCTAGTATACCATGTCTACATCACTACATGTAATATGTGTCATCTTCGATATTGGAAGGGAACCTCAAAGAGTACATTGACTCATGTTATTAAAAAGAGGCTTATCTATGAACCTACACACATGCACTTCAACCAATGAATGGAGAGCTATTATGGCCAAAGACATAATGTTAGGAGATACTTGTCCCAATACCCAAAAAAAAAAAAAAGACTAGGAGACTAAAGAGAAAAAAAACATGTGAGGCAAGTGAAGGTCCATCTCGTCGTAACAAGTGCACTTCAACTACGTGTACCACTACCTCTACCTCTGAAAAGACAAGGGTATTAAAGAAGGGGAAATAGACGTGTTAAGTTGTTCTCTTCGTAAGAACCTAAGTCATTATAAAACAAGATGTCCTAATAAGAATGCAAGTGGTACAACTACTACGTTGTTCTCATTGTAG